AAAATGAGGCTTCAGTTTTATCAACATGGTGGTCGGGTTGAAAGGAGTTCTTTCGTTGATCGTGTTAATAGTCATTTTATTGTCATCATGGCTTGTTGCTGTATTGCTAGAATATTACACGGGGCACGGCAGGCCACTCAAGCCTCACAGAAATACAAATCTAGCTCCATTTCCAAGCGACAAGATGGAAAACATTCTCTGGTTCGTGCAGGTGAGAACGTAGCAGTTTGCATCATGTGACGGAAAGTGTTTCCGGACGACCGGTCTTTTCGTTTACAACGTTTTCGTACAGAACTTTCGGATGCTCACGTTGTTTTAGATAGAATTGCTTCTCTTATGCATTTCAAGTAATATAAGCCGAGGTCGATGACTCTTGCAAAGTATGCAAACGTGAATTGAAAATTTTACACGTGGCTACTTGGTTTGGGTCCCGGTTCAGGTACTGCACTTAGCTACTATGTGCCATGGACGATCTTCCTTAGCTGTACACGTTTAACTCGTTTTTCGATATTGATAGTTTACGTTTTAAAGCAAGCTAGACTCAATAATATGATTTTGTGGTTTCTTTGTGGGTTGATATGCAGTTAGAAACCACCTTACCGGGAGCTAAAGCTTAAATAAGAATCCTGTCTGCTGCACTTTTAATGTTTACATTTTCTCTAAACAGCAGGTGGTATAACACTTTGTGTCAAAATTTTACACCCTGGGGAGTTGTTTGACTAAATTGAAGGATCCTGTTACATATCTTTTCACAACAGGTATCTGATATTCACATCAGCAAATACCGTGATCGTCAAAGAGCTAGGGATCTCAAGCAGTTCTGTAATGAGAATATAGACGTAATCAGGCCTGTTGCCGTGCTAGCTACAGGTAAGCTTGCATTTAGAATTTGTGTGTTTTTCTAACAGGGAACAGTGATGGATTTTCCCTGGAGTTAAAAATCCAACTGACATTCTGTTTTCATTTAATTTTGTTTGAAGCATTACTGAACTTTGATCCTTGTTTTTGTAAAGTAACATAATTTGCCAGTTTCTTGACTTACATAACATGTGTAAGGTACTAGTATGTACATCTAGTGCACACATGTGCGTAACCTGGTGACTTATTTCCATGAAGTTCCATATCTTTGTTATGTCTGTAACTGAAATTAAAAATAGAGTTATTTTAGTATTGTAAGTATCCAGATTTGTATTGTAAGTAGTTAATTTTTTCTTTTGCTGTAACAAATTAATTATTAAATAGATGAATGATGAAAAAAAGGAACAGCAAATAGTGGCAGTTGCTAGTAGTGAATCATGCAAATAGTTATGAGTTGTAGCAAATAGTTATGGTTAGCCTGAATAAGTTGACCACAGCTAGCTTAAATGGCTCTAAATATAGGTGCTCCAGATAACCACAAAATAATATACAGTTAACCCAAGTACCGATAACGCTGACTTGACAGTGGTTAGCTCTCTGTCAATAATGTTGACAAGTTGAAGTGGTGTAGGCTTCATAGTGTGTTGATCAGTAATAATTAATAGTGAAACAGTGAAATGGAGTGTTGTTATTTTTATCAGGCGACTTGACAGATGCAAAGGATATGTATCGACTTGGCTCTAAGCAATACAAAGAAGAATGGGAGGAATATTACAATGTGCTAAAAGAGACAAAAGTCGAAGACAAGACTAAATGGTTAGACTTGAGAGGAAATCATGGTAAGGGAATTTAGAACTTATATGGTTGGAATAATACAAGCATCTTTGAATAAATTTAGAAATCAGTTTCATGATAAAGTAACTGGTTTACTGGGTGTCTGGAAAACCCAAGTAGCGAATGGTGAATATTCGTGAATAGCTAATAGCAAATAGTCCCAAATAGTGCGAATAGTCTTGAATAGTGCGAATAGTGGCAAAACAGTCGCGAAAAGTGGCAAATGGTGACAAATAGTTGTCAATATATAGTCACTGCTTTAGATCTAATATCCTGCATTAATTAATTATCCAAATAAGCAACAGAATTTCAGTGAATTTATTATCTTTTCTTCTCCAGACTCAGGCTAGGGCTGTCCATCGCCGACATTAAGAAAATAGAAAACACAAGGATGACCTAATAAAGACGTATTTATGCTTTAGCAGTGGGTAAAACAGAAGAAATTACGTTTAGAAACACCTTTTATCCTGATAAGCGTCTGTGCTTTTTAATGGAAAAATCCCATCCTACGTTGCTGGGAGGTTGACTCCGAGATACTGGGTACCCTATTTGCTATGATTTGCCACTATTTGCCACTATTCGCACTATTCGTACTATTTGCTATTCGCTATTCGGGACTATTCACTGTTCACTATTCGCGACTATTCGCTACTTGCTATTCGGGTTTTCCAGACACCCTGTTTTACTTCATTGTTGGTGAGTACATGTATATTACGTTTTTGATATAAAGTAAATGATTTTTACTGCTCAAGTTTTTTAAATGTTACCGGTAAGTAATAGTTTCCTCCATGCAGTCTGCTACATAATTTACATGTAATGATTGGAAGTCAAGTTAATTTTTGAAATTAATGATGTTGTCCAGTTTTGTTTAATGCCAATAGTTACTTTTTTTCTACCTCTTTATCTCTCGATAGATGCATTTAGTGTTCCCTCACTTACAAGTGATGAGAACTTCTTCAAGTGAGTATGGGGTGTCTGGAAAACCCAAATAGCGAATAGCGAATAGTCGCAAATGGTGAACAGTGAATAGTCGCAAATGGCGAACAGTGAATTGTCTAAATAGCGAATAGCGAATAGTATGAATAGTGTGAATAGTCTCAAATAGTGCAAATAGTTGTGAACAGTCTCGAATAGTGGCAAATAGTGGCAAATAGTGGCAAATCGTAGCAAATAGGGTACCCAGTATCTCGCAGTCAACCTCACTGCAACGTGGGATGGGATTTTCCTGCTAAAAAGCACAGACGCTTATCAGGATAAAAGGTGTTTCTAAATGTAATTTCTTCTGTTTTAACCTCTACAAAAGCGTAAATATGTCTTTATTAGGTTATCCTTGTGTTTTCTGTTTTCTTAATATCGGTGATGGACAACCCTAGCCTGAGTCCGGAGAAGAAAAGATAATAACTTCACTGAAATTCTGTTGCTTTATTTGGATAATTAATTTACGGAGGATATTAGATCTAAAGCGGTGGCTATATTATTCGTTATTATTATTCATCACTATTTGCCACTTTTCGCGACTGTTTGCCACTACTCACACTATTCGAGATTATTCGCACTATTTGGAACTATTTGCTATTCGCTATTCGCGACTATTCGCTATTCGCTATTCAGGTTTTCCAGACACCCAGTGAGTATGGGCAAATGCACGTATTAACACATGTATTAATTATCATTTTCAGAAACAAGGAAAGGGAAAGTTGAAATGATACTGAAAAATTGGCAAAGAGAAGTCAGATAGAAAATGAGTAGCTCCTTTGGACAGAGTCTTGCTGTGCCAATTCGAAAACAGCTCTGTGAATGTTGGCTCCTGATTGGGCAGAAATATTCCTTTGTTTTATTCTGCCCAGTCGGTAGACAGCAGGTTCACATCACATTCAGGAGCCAACATCAGCAGAGCTGTTTGGAACTGGCAGAATAAGACTCCATCCCCAGCGGCTCCTCTCTTTCTCTCCAGCTTTCATTTTGCTATTTACTCCTGATACCTTTAAAACGGTTTTAACATGTATAACCTTTTGTTACTAACATCCACTTTACTTGAATTATTCCAGAGATTACTCATCCAGTGGTCTGGATGCAAGGAGAGGTTCCATGCCATACCAGTACATATACAGCACCAAGTTTGGTTCCTATGCTTTCAACGGTATTGATTTGAATCCTAATCCTGGACCACGGAGACCGTTTAATTTCTTTGGACATGTGGATCAGGTAAAGAAGAGTACTTTTTATAGAAGAAATCAAAAAATTATTAACTTAGTTCAATTGTTAAAGGGCCTATCCCATGATAACAATTTACATTGTACATTTTTAAACTTAATTGATTTAATGTTTGAGCTGTGCATAAATTACTTTAAACTTTGGTTTTATTGTTGGGTTTTAAGAATGGGGTCTAAAAACAAACATTGTATTAAAAATTTTAACCCTTAACTAGTAAAGGTGGTATTCACTAGTGACAGAATCTTGAGTCAGAGTTGGAGTTGAAGAATGCTTATGACCTAGTGAAAATTGAGGATCGGAGTTTTAAGTAGAGTCAGTCATAAGCTCGATGGGATCGAAGTTGGATGAATCAGTGAAAACTAGATTATCTGAGTCCTAACCAAAAGTGGAAGAACCAACCTGGAATCGCAATGCCCAGAATCAAGTATTGTGATTGGTTTATTCTTCTCTTTCTTCCGATGCTGACAATATAGATCATAAGTGCCAGAGTCATTGGTGGAATCAGCATTCTACTTTGGACTCCATTTGTTTGATTTTCATTAGATCATACACTCTGCACCTCCGATTACAACTCTGACTAAAAGTCTCCTTTGCTCTAGTAAAAACCAGCCTTAGACGAGAGACAACAAACTTAATTCAAATCTGACCCTGAATTATGCACAGCAAACTATTGAGCTGACTTGTCCTTATGTGATCTTCTCCATAAGAACAAAATAAAGTATTGTTTGTGTCAACTCAACCAGGGACAAGACAGGCCTATACAGTATTGCTATGCCTTTGCTGTGGCTATACATTTGACAGCTTCACTGTTATTTATTGAGGTGACAAATTTTAATTTTTACCTTCCTCCAGGATCGTATCAATGAAATGGAGAGACTAGCTGATGCCAGCAAATCATTTAACATGACAATTTGGTTTGGACACCACCCTTTTTCAGTCACAACAACACCTTATGTTAGAAAGATTTTAAGGTGAGTTACAACACAGCAAGTGAGAGGTGCAGTGGCCTCATGCGGTTAGTGTGCTCATCTCCGATGGAGCAGTCTGGGTTCAAGCCCTGGCCAGGGACATTGTGTTGTGTTCTTGGGCATGACACTTTAC